TTTCGCAACTTGGTCGACCTTTGGACAAGTTGCAAAAACAAGGTCAAACAACTTCTAATCTTTCTTTAGTTCACTACAATCGTAACGTCATCTGTATTGCATAACAAAATGTAATAAATCGATAAATTATAATTCAGCTATACATATTAGTATAGCTTTCACAGGCCATAACATGTTTAGATAATATCGAAAGATGCTCAGAATCCAAATCATCGTATTCATCGAGAGATATTCTTATGGATTATTTTGTAAGTAAATCATATGCTTGAGAGTATAATGTCTGCCCGCAAATGCCTATAAAGAAAGAAAGAAACTTCTTTTTCTGTAGGGCAACCAACCAAAAGACTTTTGTTACTCTATTTCGTTTAAGGTGATGAAGGACTGATATTTGAATTTTTTAATAATATTTATAGACCTCATGCTTTGATTGAAGTACATATGGCTTTGCTTCCAAAAAGGGAAATTCGTTGGAATCATGAAGCTCACTTATATGCTTGTGGGAAAATTCAACTACCAGTTATTCATCACCTTGCACGAAATAGGTTGAATAGAACTACTAATAGTCTTTAAATCCTACTTATAAAACGACAAATGAATTTACCTTTAATCAAAATAAATCGGCAATGGTAGTTAGCACTACATGAGTCCCATTTAACGTTTCTCTATTTAAACAAATAAGAGCTAATTCATTTTTTTAGTTGACTTAATACGATAAAATAACTTTCAGATTAAGATATATTTTATTTAGATATGATCTGCTTATAAAATTATTTATAACCAGTCGTTAAATAGATTACATTCACTATATATTGGGCCGGATACTTATTACATTCTATTAACATTATTTTGTTATATTAATTAGTTTCCTTAATCTGTAGTAAAACCTACTCAGTAAAGAAAAAAATGTAGTAAAATAATTTTTGGGAGCAAATTTTAGTCAATTATTTGCGACTAATTGATCAATTCATAGCTCTTATTTCGGGGAAGTTATTAGCCATCTTAGCCACTTCATATATGCAGACGTTTAAATCGGAAATTCAAACAAATACACTTAGTATGTTCCACTTGCAAGGTGTGGATGTCAAATATTTTCTATGCTCTTAACGATAGATCTATTTCATACCTTTGAACATACCTAATAAATGTTTCTACGCTTTAATGTAACTTAGAGAATCCAAATGTATCCTCAAAATTTTCCATTATTATCTCTTCAACAAATGATAGTTTCAAATTAAGGCGAATCATTTAACACGCTTCGCATCATTTTCTGCCATGTCAAATGCAGTAAAACTAGCGAATTTATTGCATCCTCTGCCATTTATTTGAGCAATTAGATAAAAATTTGTAGGAAATTTGTAAAATGCAAAGCATTATAATATATATATAACATTTATATAACTTTGATGTTGACGGACAGGGTAAAGATATGGCAGAATATCTTATGAAATATCATCTATTCAAATATTATTGTGGCATACAAAGACGGTCACTTTCCTATTAAATAGTCTCAAAGACTGAAAAATGAAGCACTCATTTGATTGTTAACTTAATCAGATAACTCTCCTCAATAAACGATTGACTCTTCATTCAAAATATACTTTTGTTGCGTTAAAAGTATAATTACCAAATAGCTCCCCAAGAATTTCGAATACTGGAATGTATTAGTCGTAAGAAAAATAAAAGTAAGATTGGTTTTGATCATTGGTCAGTACTTCATTTTGTCTCCCTAGAAATATTCACGATTGAATAATAAATTCATACCTAAGAGAGGTTTCTGAGACTACTTGTATCAACTTACCTGGCAATAAGGCTCATACAACAGTCTAAGCAGCATATAAAAGCTAATCCCGATGAAATTCCTTCTTTACTTTTCTTAGTAATACTACATTGTAAGTTATACTCCTTTAGGACAGACGGCTCGAGGAAATTAAATCCTCAATTCTTCCTGTATATAGTTTATATCAATCTCTATAGCCCCAAATTACAAATTTTATTTTTCGTTTTATTATTAGGTTTCAAGACTACCAGTGTAGGCCATATATTTCAGAATTAGTTATTATATTTCGTTTGAGGTGATAAATTTTCCCACAATGATATCAGTAGGACTTATGTTTTCTACAGAATTTCATATAGCCTTGCTTCCAAAAAGGTACTTTTTGCAAAGCAACACTGTAAAATTCAATGGAAACGTAAGGCCCACTCATATTATTGTGGTAAACTTCAATTGTCAGTCGTATAAAACCATCAACGAAATATGATGAATATATCTCATACAAATGTTATGCATGGTCAAAATCCGATTTTGGAGAGGGGCCATCAATTGAGTGGATCATTATCTATCCCAATCACAAGACTAGCTTGCTTCCTGAAGGCTAGTTTGCCCCATAATTAAGCAATTTTTTCCGCTAAAAGGGATATTCTGTGCAAAAAGGCCTAAAAAACGAGTCTATTTGCTATGGAAAGTCAAATAATGCCAACTCAACGTTGCTCTATTTCGCTATCTGTCACAGCGACTATCTTTCGTATCAGTCAAGTCCGTGAAGAACTTGGTGGCATGGCAAAGGAAACTCTGGGTTTATTTATAGAAAGTGTTTACTTTCATTTTTAATGTATAGTTAGTTGCAGACACGCCTGTGCATGCATACGCCTGCCGTAGTGGCCCAGAAACGTGTATTTCCGCTTGTTCCCACCGCATCGTCACGCAGTTGCCAAATCCCTTTTCTTCTACTCACCGGCTCCTCACGCCGGGACGGCAATGGCCGTGAGTTGGACGGACAGGCGGAACGGCACACAGACGTCGGAGAGACACGAGGACAAACTGTGTGCGTATGTTTGCTGATGCTTGAACTTCTTCCCCTACAGGTTCTTCTTCTCTCTGTCCTTTCTTTGCAATATCACCCTATCGGCTCATAAACACCCGAGGAAATAACCGGCATACTTTTGGATGCCTTCGAGGGGAAGAAGCGAAAAAGATTCTGCAAAAAATGCATCGGCAATCCCATGCAAGTGTCGGCAGCAGATCGGCTTGCCTCGATTCGTGTGTTGCATCTTCACACATGCCGGCGCTTTGTTTGCTTAGGACCAAGAGAGTTTCCCGAGTCTTCTTTGGCCCACTTTGGGTCGCTTCTTCGGTTGACACGTCTTTTTGCGTCTTTTTTTTATATATTTTGCGCAGCCTCTTCTAGCCAGCCTCTAGACTTGACCGCTTCA